ATATATATATATATATATATATATGTAACAAACTCGTGTGTGTGTGTGTGTGTATGTGTGTGTGGTTTGGATCTTTGGATTAATGCTACTCGAAATTCTTTTTCTTTATTTCTCCACACTATTTGTAAAAGTTTTGTGGTTGCTTTTACCATTTCTTCAGAAGGTTTTCCAGCCTCCAACAGAGTAGCAGCAACAGCAGCTTCTTCTTCTTCTTCTTCTTCTTCTTCTCTGGTTTCGAATTGGTAAAGCTATACCAACCCAAACCAACACATAACCATCAACATTTACTATTAGGGTTGCCTAGTTCTTTCTATCTTGTATCTTTTCTCTTTCTACTTCACTAACATTTTCTTTAAGTACGTCGAGATCCATGTACCAACACACGGTGTTTATATAAAGTAGAGAAAAGTCCCTACTATACATTTATAACTTTCAATACACGTTTTCTATCTTTTTCCTACGTTTAGATTACCTAAGATATTAGTACAACTCGGCTTGGAAAATAAGTCTGGATTTCAAATATCTTTCGTTTTCTGTCTTTTATATAAATATATATATATATATATTTCTTCTCTTTTGTCGTATATTTTCTTCTTTTGTACAAAGAAGAAAAGAAAGAGTGGAGGATATATTCTCAACGTTATTTATCTTTAATTAAAACGTGCACCACTTTCTTCTTCTACTTAATAAAAAAAAAAAAAAGAAGAAGAAGAAGAAGAAAAAAATATAATAATAATTTAAAATTTTTCTTAATTCGTATTATTATCCCATATAAGTGTTTGAATTGTTATAATTCTTAATTAAATTATTTTAATTTTAGATTTGAAATAAAACAAAATATACAGAAATTAAATTGGAAATACAAAATTGGTTAATTTTTCTTAATTTTTATTTTATTATCAGTGTCAGTGTTTATATTATTCGAATTTTTAATTAAATTATTTTAATTCTAGATTTTAAATTAAAAAAAAAGAAAAAAAAAATATAGGAATTTAATTTGGAAATAAAAATATTTTTTAATTTGTCCTAATTTTTATTTTATTATCAGTGTGTGTATCAGTGTTTCAATTAAATTTAAATTTAAATTAAAGTATTTTCATTCGAGATTTTAAATCCCCCAAAAAACTTATTAATTTAATTGCAAAAAAAAAAAAATATTAGATGAAAAAATGTAATAATTGCATTAAATTATTAAATTAAATTAAATTACATTTAAATTTAAATTTAAATTTAATTATTTTAATTCGAGATTTATAATAAAAACAATTATTAAGTTAATTTCAAAAAAAAAAAAAATGTTAGAAGAAAAATTGTATTAATTGATATAAAATAATAAATAATTGTATTAATTTTTTACAGGTATGAATTTATACGTTGTGAGCAGTATTATTGTGGTTGGTCTTACCATGACCACCGCTGCATCCGACGTATTGATCCTTGGATCTACGTCTATGGGGTTTGCTGAGAAACAGGAATCGTCTAAGGTTCATTGTCGATATAGTAAGGCCTATTCGATGCTACAAGTTAGATGTTCTGACCCAAAATTAGAAGAAATTCCTCGTGATTTAAATTCTAATATACAGGTAAGATATAAAAAAAAAAAAAAATAAAAGCATACGTTCTATTTTTAATTATAAAAACTTAACATATAACACTGTTTATTTACAGTTACATTAAATAATATAATAATTGAATATAAATTAATTATTGTAATATAATTATATAATTAAATATTTTATTAAATTATTATATATATATTATTAGATTATATAATTAAATATATAATATAATAATGTAATTAATTAAATTAATTAAATTACTGTATTAATTTCTATTCTTTCAATAAAATAAATGCATCGTTAAAATAACAATATATACGAAAATAAAGTAATAAAAGACAAATTATTATCATCATCATCATCATCATTATGTAAATAAATATATACGAAAAAAAAAAATTAATAATTAATTAAATAATTTATAATCTTGTTTTTTCTTTGAAATTGTTAACAGATCCTTGATGCATCATTCAGCCGAATACGTGATCTGCACAACGACAGTTTTTCATCGTACACAAAATTGGCCTTCATTTATCTTGGCGATAATTTTATACAAAACATCGAAGAATCCGCATTCTCACGACAATATTATCTCGAAGTTCTCGATCTAACAAAAAATGGTTGCGACAATTTACCAAAGAATCTCTTTCAATTACCCTACTTGCGTAAAGTTTATCTTGCAGTTAACAAATTTGGCGATTCTGTGTTTCAAACTGAAGTAACATCGCCTCTTAATTTTCTTCAATTGCATCGCAACAAATTAACCAAATTACCGGAAATGGGATATTTACCAACACTTACGCAATTAAACGTTTCCGAAAATATGATTACGAAAATAACAACGAGAGAATTGGCGCGTTTTTGTAATTTAAAATCGCTCGATGCTACGAAAAATCCGCTCAATCTTGAAGAAGACAATTGCGAATGCGTCGTTATGAAAAGTTGGTTGAAATTACGTGAGATTAAATTCAAGCCTGATTACAATTGTACACCTGCGGCGTTTAAACGTTGCAATGGAAAAAATGTCACCTTTAGCAATGACACTTTAACGATCTACGATGAATGTACAAACATCCTCAGGATACAAATGCAAACGAAAAAAACACGTAACATGTGGATCATCTTGGCATCTTCGGCAGCCTGTTTCATATTTATAGCATTTCTCGTATTACTATGTTTACATAAACGTAACAAAAGGAAGAAAGATAAATTAATGAAGGAACAACAACGTATTGCTGCCAATAATGCTAATACCCAATTACTAAATAGCAATTTGAAACACGAAAGTGAAAAATAAAATATACTACTTTCATTTTTATTTTGAGGATTTTTTTCCTCTAACGGAGGAGGAGAATGGAAAAAAAATGGTTTCTTCTTTTCATATTTTTTTTTTTTTCTTGTTAATCGTAAAATATAAAAGTTGAGCATTTTTCTCTCGTTTACCTCACAGCAAGCACGGATCCATTTTTTCTTCTTCTTCTTCTTCTTCTTTTTCTTCTTTGCTACGATCGAAAGATTTCATCGTTATCGAGGATATTGAACTTAAGGAGAAAAGCCGAAGAAGAAGAAGAAGAAGGGATTGGGGGAGGGGAGGGGGTAGGGTGGCAAAAGAGGTTTCGATACCTTAAGGAGAGTATTTGGCCCCTACCCTACCCCCATCCCCTCTTCATCGTTGTGTTTGCTCCTCTAGGGAATACTTTCAAGAGGATTTACGTTGAAAACGTTCAAGTATAAGTCTCAGGTAGACTCGCAGAACAACAACGACGTATCTTTTGGGACTGTGATCTCTCTCTCTCTCTCTCTCTCTCTCTATCTCTCTCTCTCGTGTTTGAGTATGAAAGTTTATGTATGCTCTGGTAGAATTTCACAGTGTATGTATGTAATGTATGTGTATATGTACTTAAGCCTTAAAAACTATTATAACTTGGCATATTATCGTTCGTTCGTTCGTTCCTTGTATTTTTTCATTTATTTTTATTCTCGTCACCCGTTATATAATTTTTTGGAATCAATCTTCTCCTATATGTATGTTTATGTATGTATGTGTGTGTATGTGTTTTTTTTTTTTGCATATTGTATCCTTTTTATACACACATATATATTGTATGTTATGATGAAAGTATATATTGTTTTGTTATTCTATAGTATATATATATATATACACACATATACATTAATATAATATGCACATATATGTGTATAATATGTGTGCACAAATTACAGGACTTAAATACAAGGATAATAGAATGTTCGACAAAAACAACAAATGATTTTACATCGTAAACGAAATAATTGTACTTAAGATTTTGTCCTATAAAATTATCTTAGATAATAGTACTTTGAATATTTTATAATAAGATAAAGATAAAAATGTTCTTTTCTTTTTTATTTTTTATTTTATTTTATTTTCTATTTTGATAATTCTTCTCTCTATTTAAAAACAATTGTGGCACTTAGTAGACTTAGGGTAGATATTAATAGTTCGCATTTGGTTGTACAAAATCGTTCGATTATTTAAACAAATATATATATATATATACATATATATTTCAACGTACTCGTTTGATAGATAATAGACAATGCATTACTTTCATTAAGATAATTGTATATTTATTTTCTTTTTTTTTTTTTTCTCTTATTATAAACAAACAAACAAAACGCGTGTACGAAATTAGTCAACAACGCGAAAAACGAGACTGTACGGAAAAAAAAAAAGAAATCTTTTTCCTCTTTGCGAGTAAGTTTTACACTATTTTTCTATAAAACGATTTGTCGTTTTATAAAATATTTCAATAGTAATAACAATGATAATAACAACAATAATAATAATAATAATAATAATAAAACAATCATACGTCAGTTTGTAATATTTGGTCATCCCCAAAAGTTTCTTTCATTTTGTTTTCTTTTTTAAATAATTTTATGGGCACAATATTTTTTATGTTAAATAATAAACAATAAAGAAAAACATAATATAGAGTGGAATCGATATTATTTAATAAAATAACATAAAAAAATATTTAGAACGATCATACATCGGTTTGTAATATTTGGTCATCCCCGAAAGGTTTCTTTTATTTTTTTGTTTTTATTTTTTAAATAATTTTTAATAAACAATATTTTTTATGTTGAATAATAAACAATAAAGAAAATGATAATATAGAGTGGAATCGATATTATTTAATAAAAAATAACATACAAAAATATTACGCATAAAATATTGTGAAACTTAGTGTCAAATAAAAGAAAGAAATTTTTTGGGACAAACTGATATGACCCATAATTATTATTATTATTATTATTATTATTATTATTGTTATTGTTATTATAATTATTATAGGATGGTTGTTGTTCTATTCGATAATATTATATAAAAAAATATTAATTAGAAAATTAAATCCTAATTCTACTACACATATATCGAACTCTTCTTAAACTTAATTTCAATTTCAAACGAAATAAACATTTCAAACGCTTTTCATTCGAGATAGAAAATTATTGTTATATACACGATATATGTAAGTTATTATTAATAATATAATATAATATAATATAATATAATATAAAATATAATAAATAATAAGGACATTTGAAAGAATTAAAAAATTCAATGGCTTATTAAAAGTTGACAATTATGATTAATAATAAATAATACAAAAAAAAAAAATAAAAAATGTAACACATGTTATAAACGTCAATAACTAATAATTGCTAAGGGGACCTAATTAATAATTATTAATAAATGATCACGTTGTTTTTTTTTTTTTAGAATATAATAAAAATAAAAATATTTCGATGTAATTTTTTTTTTTTTTTTAGTAGGGCCACGTGTATAGAGCCAGATTATTTAAATAAATCAACATAATTCATTACTGTACAGACGTAAACAACAAAACAATGAGTGAGAAAAACATTAAAAACAAAAGAAACAACTGTTTTGTGTGTATGTGTGTGTGTTGTGTATGTTTGTGTGAACGATGTGAATAACTAATTATTACTACTATTACGACTCTGTACATATCATTTTAATTTTTAGTTTAATTATTCACGAAAATCAATGAAATTATTTATAAACGAGCGTTCCAATTTAATATTAATATTAATAATAATAATAATAATAATATTAATAATAATAATAATAATAATAATAATAACTACGTCCGTGTTGTGTATGTACTTTTGAAAAGAATTGAAGAATTCCTTTTCTTTTTTCTTTTTTTTTTTTTTTTTCTATTTCAATTATATTAAAGTAAACTTGCCAATGCTATGGGCTGTGCACCTTTATGCACTTTAAGTGAACGAATGATATGCGATATTAAAAAAATTAAATTAAAAAAATATATTTATTGTTTCATTTTTAATTTTTCTTATCCTACATTATCTTATTTCATACCTTTATTAAATTATTTATATATATATATATATATATATATATATATAATTATATTTATTATAATTGATAATATAATATCTATTATATTCTAGATAATTTAATATTATATTAACTATATTAAAATAATAAATTTTTGATTATTAAATAATTTTAATATATATTAATATTTAATATATAATAATAATAATTATTATATTATTTTATTTCATTCCTTTGATAAATTATATATACAATATAATATAATAATTATATTTATTATTATTGATAATATATTATTGTTTATTATATTATAGATAATTTAATATTATATTTATTATAATAAAATAATAAATTTTTGATTATTAAATAATTTTAATATATTAATATTTAATAAAATAGAATTTATTTATTATCAATAGTAGTTAACTACTTTTCAACATAAAATTCTATTATTTAAATCAGAAATAGAGAATGGAATTTTACGATTTTTCATCGAAATTTTTTCCACTACGATATCATACAAAATCATCATAAAAAAATAATCTTAATAGAAAATATTTATAAGAAATCGATTGAGAATTTTACTTGATAAGACTCGAAGATTCGAAGATTTTTGAAGAAGTTCTGAACGTGCATAATAATTGCTGATGATATTTAAAGAAAAATTTCTAAAGGAGATTTTAAAAAATGTTTGCGGCATCCTTGACTTTTTGGATAAGCTCAACTTCAAGTTCTTTGACGTTTCATGCTCGATTGCTCGCAAAAGAGAATTTCAAGTGCTTCGCATATTCAACAGCTTCAAGAATTTTTTCTTCCTTTTTTATTTTTCCTTATCCTTCACTTTTGTCATAAAGTCGTCAAAGCGAATAATAAATGTCGAGGTTTAATAAATTGAAGAATATCTATTGTAATAAATGTAAAATAAATGTTTTATTAATATTTTTTTTTTGTTTTTTTTTTTCGTATAACAAAAACGATTAATGGAAACGATGACAATATTAAGGGTAGCAAATGTGAATTTTTCAATGTAAATTTTAAATAACAATAAAATTTGGTATTTATTTATAAATATAAATATAGTACGACATTTTACATGAATTATATTCATTTGAAATAGTTTCTAATAATTGTTGAATTACTCAATGATGCAAACAAAAATATATATATACCCTTAGTGGTTTTAATGGAATGAGTTTAACACAAATATACCCAAATTAATTGATACGTCTAATATAAAGGGTGATCTGTAACTGGTGGTACAAACGAAAAAGGGGGGGATTCTACATGAAAAAACAAATCGATAATAAAGAATAACAGTTTTTCGTTTGACACTTTGTTTTCGAGAAAATCGACTTTGAATTTTCGCAAAGTTTGACTTTTCGTTAGGCCGTGTCCGTCACGGGTGACTGACGTTCAACTAGTTTTTCAATACAATGTGACGTCTGTGGCCTGACACGAATTTCCCTGAAGAATTCGCGTTGCGAATTTTGGCGATTATTCTTTATTTTCGATTTATTTTTTTTTATGTCGAATCACCCCCTTTTCGCTTGTAGTACCAGTTACAGATCACCCTGTATATATATATTTTTAAATTATTTTATATTATACTAGGGATGCCCCGCCACGCGTTGCTGTGGCTCACAATCAGTCTGATACACACGTCTTTAAGTCAACGAATTACCTTATACTGCCATCTGTTAGAATCTTATCGAACTAACAGAGATAATCATGACTTTTTGTTAATAAACAAATAATTCGCGATTAATAAAATAATATTGCGATTATAAATTGAGATATAAACTATTCTATCTTTCAAATTGGATGAAACTGCACACAGTGTGTAAAATTTTATTTAAATCGGTTCATTAGTTTAGGAGTCCATTCCGGACAAACAACGTGACACGTAATTTATATATATATA